TGTTGGTGCTACAAAATACCAGGTCCATAGTGTTGAGCTTCTGGCCACTGGCACTGGGTACTGAAATGTTTGTGGAGAGTACTCCAAAATTCTTTCTGTTGTGATGTTGTCAAACTGAGTTTCTTCAATAATTCAGCATATGTTTGCTACATTCATTGAGATTGACCTGTTGAACATTTGACACCAGGGATGGGCCAATACAATGTGATGCACACATTGGACAATGCCAGTGCATTGCATTGGAACACACAATTATAAAGGTCTCTGCACCACAATAGGTAACAGAGAACCCCTGAAAGTTGAACAACGCATGTAATTTTCAGTGTGTTGGATATTCTGTTGAATTAAACAGGACAGGTCACAGACAGGTAGAAGTGGAGACAGATTAAATATATGATCAATTCCATCATGTTTATATCAAATTAGATCAGTCTATGGAAGAGATTGAGTGTAAAGAACTCAATGTACAGTCTTTGATCTAACATGTTGCTTTGATGTTTCAACAGATGTTGGCCTGAAGTGTAGTATAAATCAACATCCCACTTGAATCAGCCTGGAAGTTTAGTAAGACAACTTTTGTATTATTCTGCACTACCTCTGTACTCATTGAAGCAAGGGCATTGCTGCTGAGCCCCATATCTATGAAGCATTGTGGTGAACGGCATAGACTCTTTTCAAAAAAATACAAATGATTGAGTTTGGCCAGGATGCACTAAATGAACTAAACTCTAGCAACTCCAATGTCTGTAATACAATTCTGGCCCACAGCATAGAGGGAAGTGGGTAGCATGTGTTGGTGCTGCCCTGGTGCTACTGCTTAGCCACCCAGGGCTAAGAAACCTGTGCCATGGACCTTGTTCTGTCAATTGGATTCATTTGGGGCTATTAGAAATCAACAAATTGTCCCCCTTGAATGTATTCTCTTTACAAAGTACATTCAAAACTCCTTGAAGCATCCAGACAGCACATGTAGCACTGCCAGCATTAAAGAGGTTCTCTGGTGGGAAGATGGGTCTTAGAGAACATATTCCCATTCTGTTACTGTTAGAGCATCCGCTATCGTTACAGCAAATTTTCTGCAAATTTACTGTAACGGTCTGTAAAGTACAGAGGCGGTACGTACCGAACTCTCGAAATCCACTATCGTCGAGGCAAAATCTCTTCTGTACGGTACGTACTGTACAGAACGAGATGACTTGTGGTTGTGTGGTGTCCCGTTTGCTCGGTAGCCCGAGCAAATTTGGTAGATACCGATTCTGCAGAGGTCCTGCAAATTTGCAGGACCTCTGCAGAATTTTTACCGAAACTGCAGGTACCGAATCGTGTTTTTGACACGATTGGGGATTTATGGCTTTGGTACTGTAAAATTTACAGTACCGAAGCCATTTACAGCAACGATAGTGGATGCTCTTACCAAGCAGCCATAGTGGTATATGTAGTATATTGTTGAAACACATTCTGCAAACTGAATAAATTTTCACAATGTATTACATATAGCTTGCTGATCTAGATGAACAGGTGACTGAGCAGCCCTGTATGTCCCTGATAGCTAAAAAATACTCAGCTGGTTGAACATATGTAGTATATGAGTTATGGCTCAGGTTTGTGGTGCAAGCCAATTTTCTGGATAGTCAAATCTGGATATAATACCCGTTTGCTGCACTAAAATTTCCTACAACCTTGTCCTTCTGTGTTGGAGAAGCAACATAATTTTTGCTATGGTAGCAAGACATGTACAGTCATTCAGCACTAAGAATACTCCAAGTCAAAAGGTGAATTCCAACTTTTTTAACCCAGATTTCTTTGGCAGGGAAAAAACTTCAATGTTGCCCCAAACTTCTTGCCTTTGAGGACCACATGCCTGATTTTGCACTCAGCACTCCTTATACTCATGCTGTGTGTCAGTGTCCAATTACCTCTGTCCATAGATTTTGTTCAGGCCTCTGTTAAGGTCTCATTGGTCCTTAATTTCACCCAATAACCTGTGTCTTATGGCAGAATATGTATGAAGGTGAAAGTAGGTAATTGGCAGTGGGCAGCAGGAAATCTCACTTTCTGCAATTGGGCCATGTTCTTTTGCACCATTACACCCCAATTCCTCAGAGTGTAAAGTGGTTACAGTGCTTATCACAAATATGGCTCAATGTGATTGCAGTTGCCATGTCAAAATCTGTAGTCATTATAGGTGACTATGTGCAAGGATTGCCCTAATTCTTGAATTTGAATATCTGTGTGATCCTTCAAATTGGTCCACCACCAATTCTCTCATAACACAAGGGTCCTCATGATTTGTAATCAGTTCTTTGTTCTCTTGTATCAGCAATGCACAACAAAAGCAGGCACTTGAATTCAAATCAAAAAACATTCTCAGAAAACACTTCAGCCAGTTATATGATGTGTCTCATCCTCATTCTGTGATATACATGGCCTTGAATCTTCTCTTCCTCTGTCTTTCATCTAACTAGATGATACATATAGTTCTCAACATCATATCCAATTATTACCACCTTCAGTGTACACAAAACAATCCTTTTTGTGTCAAACTGCAGAGAAGTGAGAAGCAACACATTTGCATACATTGGTAAAAGACAGAAACCACACTTGTAAATTTTCATTGCTAGTTTATATCTGGAGATCTTGTATATATATTGTTGACATTCTTATCCTTATGCTGATTTATGGTGACATGTTCATCTATTGAGGATTTACCTAGTAGTCTTCTCCCATATTCTTGGCTCTTTGTGAGAGACAGAAAGTACGGGTGAAGTTATGAATTTCAGAAAGCCTTCTGTCATTTAAATCATCTCTCAAGTTGATACATTTCCTCAATCATCTTCCCATCCAACTTGCTCACCTTCAAAGTCTTGTTCACCAGAGGAGACGGGTTACATAAGACACATGTTGTGGTATGGCTGTATCGGGGTAATGACCCGGGGCGATGTGTACACAGTTCGCACCCTGTCACGACTCACAGGACCCACAACATGCCCATTTCAATTTCTAAGGTCAATTTCACACCACCAAACCTGTGAATACTCGACCACTGAACAGATCCAATTTATATCATTTGAATCATGTCTCAAAATCAATCCACCAGCTCGGTCAACGGACAGCAAGCAGATTTCTACGATGACTACGATAGCGAGATGAATTCTCATGCTGATCCCGCTGAAGGAGGATATGAAGAAGATGATCATGAAGAATGGAGAAATGAAGATGAAGAATATGTAGAAGAGGAGGAAGGAGCTGAAGAAATGTTTCCGATTGGCTACAGTATTGAGTTCACTCCCCCTCGATTCGATGGAAATGACGAAGGCAGGAGCTCGGATGCACCGCGTGGTGGGCTAGGGTCTCAAGCTCTACCTGTACCTGACAATATGAGATCGGATTGGGATGGCATCCCCCAAGATGGTGCTGAATATCTCTTCACAGTTCGGTTTGTTCGTCAGTTGTTGTACAGTCTTGTGCTTGTCAATGACCACTTTCTCCAGCTGGGTCATACTGATCTTTCAAACGCCTTATCCCGCCTCCTCAGACAAGAAGCTCAAAGCCGACCCCGGGTCGTAGCAAAAGAGAATCCATATGCCCTCAAGTCACGTCCGCGGAAATCACGATCGACAACGCCATCTGGAAATCCAGGCTCGTCCTCTTCTGTGAATGTCGCTTGGAGAGCGCAATTTGCTTTTCGGTTTAACAACATGAGGAAGGTAATATAGTTTGAATTTTCTACAGAACCAATGGCCACAAGAGTTTCTAAGTGACATGGCCCTCTTGATGCTTGATGACCTTGTAGAGCCTTCAAGATCAAGAGCCAGACAATTGGTCTATGGACAACACCTACCTGAACACACCTCCTGCAAATGATGAATCAAACTGGAGGATTTTTATCTTTGGGAAGAAAGTAGTGTCAAGCTCAGGTGATCCAACTTTGATTGAATATGTCGGTGCAAAGCCCCCAATCCCCACATTTTTGAAAGCTTTAGATCAAGTGAGCATTGGTATTTGACATTCGCATACATGACGTTCAGCTAGATCACTGAATTGCTTACTACCCGTCCTCTGGCTGATTCTTGGCTACAGGTCACTGTTGTCGCGATTTTGACTCATTATACAGGTTGGATAGAGGAGCGGTTAGACTCTTTGATGGCCCTCATTGAGCATCATAACGAAACTCCGAAGAATGATCCGGGCGTCAATACGACCCATGAGATCACACTGCTCTCTGCTCATGATGGATCGTGGCTTTTGGGATTGTTGTCGATTTTGGATAGTGTTTTGACTGCACAAGATATTTATAGACTCAGAGCATTAGCTAGAGCGTGTAAGCGAGTTGCTCAGATAGCTGACGCGGCTAGTAAACAAGCCGTGTCTCAGGACGACAGCTCGTATCACGAAGCTGCGGCAGGTTGGATGGTCGTTGCTGCCATTGCTGATGTCTGGGGACAAAAGGATCTTTGGGATGATTGATGATGTCGTGTGGGTGATCTTGGAATATGATTAGATCTAGGAACTTGTCATTCTTCTGCCTATGATGACGATTTATAGTATGATTTTTGTATCAAGTATACCTTTGAAAAACAAGGGTGTGTCTATTCAGCGTAATGTCAGCAATCTTTCTTCAAACTATCTCAACCTAAAGTCTGCCGGGTAACACGAAAAAGTAAAATCGATTTCGCGCTAGTCGAGCTTGTCTCCATCCCACCAAGCCAATACCTTAGTGGTGCTATTTGGAGGCTTTTGTAAAGGATGCAAAGGTACCTGAGTGATCCAAGGTCTTACGATTTTCAACAAAGTATAGGAAGAAGGTAAAATGACTTGATTGATGAGAAGTGCATTCCAGCATGCTTGAATTACCCTTGCTCCCATCATCCCACCACCGAGATCAGATCAGGATGCGTAGCTTGTTGCAAATCAGTCCTGCTACCAACACAATATTCAAACTTTGCAAAAATGGGGGTATGTCTTTGGAGAAAGTAGTGAGTGGAGCAGATGGCAAAAGATGGAGTATCGGGGAGTCGAACCCCGGACCTCTCGCAAGTACGCCCATGCGAAGCGAGCGCTCTACCAAATGAGCTAACACCCCTGTATTGGTCAACTCAAGGTCTCCATATCCAGCCTGATACTAACTCGTGACGTCATCTAGATCAGCCTTCCTCGATTAAATTATAACACTCCTCTTCAGAAGTCTTATGACTGAAAAAAGCTAAATTTTATACATAAGATCCCTAGAGTCCAATGTTTAGCTTATGATTTTTCAAGTGATCAATTGAGACCAAGATCAAAGTTTGAATCATAGAGTGAAGTTTACCCAAGAGTATGTGGATAGATAGTTTTGAGAAGAGAGTTGATGAAGATGATCATTTGTGATGAGAATTGAAAGTGAAATGAGCAGTGATGATGAATTGAAGTGAGATCAAGTAACACATCACTTTCTTTCTTTATTAGGGAATTTGAAATTCGAATCGATCACTTTGCTTTCATCATCAAGATTCTCAAAGGTCTTGGTCATTTTCTACTTCAACTTATTCAACTTCAGTTCACTCACTTCATCAAAACTTCAGATTACATGATGAATTTATTCGAATCTTCTAAACTCAAAACTCAATCTTCAAATCAAATCAAATCGAATTCAAATTTAAGTTTACCATCAGATTCTTCAAACCATTTAGAATATTTATCATTATCAAGTATCTTGATTCCAATCCTAGGATCTCATTTACATGGATCTCTTGTGGATTGGCAAAATTTAATCTTTTGTTTGATCTTATTTATTTATATCTTTAATCTAATCAATTTACCATGGCAAATTTTAAAATGTAGTCAGTTTATCAAACCCATTGATTTTCATCAACTCTTATTAAATTCTTTTAAAATCTTAAAACTCAAATCCAATCCTGCTTCTTCTTCTTCTTCTTCTTCTTTTTCGAGCTTTAAATTTCAACTTAGATTCATTGAATTAATTTCAATCTTTAGTTTAATCCTTTCACCTTTCCTTTCGATCTACTTACTTAAATTCTTATATTCGACTCTCAATCCAAATTCAAAACCACTTGATTCATCTACCATCAATCTATTCTTGATTGCTACTAGTTTTAAACCCATTGAATATCTCTTATCTCGTTTACGTCAAGGTAGTCTGTTTGGTAAACCTATTCATCCTACTTCATTTGTTTCTAATCGTCAAATCGAATTCATCGATCTCATCAGTCAATTTGAAGAAATCAAGATTCGATCGAATTCATTAGAGAAAAGATTAGCAAGTGATCCTGAATTAGAATCACTTCGAACAGATACTGAATTGATCTTAGGTGAATTAGCTTTTCAATTAAACCAACGTACCCTACATCTTGATCGATCATTAAACAATGAAATTTCCCAAATGTTACAATTGATTAAAAAATTAAATCATCTTAAACAATCGATCGAAACACTTATGAAGGAAATCAAACACAACATTCAACTTAAAGAAGATGAGAAAAGTTGGGCTTGGGATTTAGTTTTAAATTTAGTTCAGAAGGCTGTTAAATTCAATCATAGTAAGAAGAAACTGATCATGTAAGTCAGTCATCATGGATCGAAAGATGGTTTCCAATTTGATTTTTAAAGATATCCTTGAGGGGTTGAAGATTATGTAATTTGATTTTCATCGATTGTTGTATGAAGTGGGTTTGAGATGAATGATGAGTTGATGATATGGGATGATTTAAATTAAACTTACAAAGATTACAATGTCAGATAGATACATGTAGAGACATGAGGATGATGATGTTGAGAATTTGATGGTTTGTATTAGCTACTTTTAAAAAATTTCAAGATTGGTTTTTGAAATGAAAGAATTCATTAAATTTAGTTTACTTCCTGGTCTTCTCCTCAGATTGATCTTAATCCTTTATTCGGTTTATCATGATCAGACTCATCAACTCAAATACACTGATTTGGATTATTTTGTTTACTCTGATGCAGCAAAGTTCATCTTAAACCCATCCAAACCTCATTCATCTCCCATCGGTTCACCTTACGATCGTGATACGTATCGTTATACACCCTTACTTGCTATCCTACTCTTACCTAATCATCTCTTACATCCACTTTGGGGTAAACTCTTATTTTCAATATCTGATTTATTCATCGGTCTTTTGCTTTATCTTTTAATTCGATTGGATCATTCATCTCATTCAATCTTGATTATCAATTCACTTTGGCTCTTAAATCCGATAGTCGCTAATATCTCAACTCGTGGTTCGAGTGAATCTATCCTAGGTGTTTTGATCATTAGTACTCTATACTGTTTTGAACGTAAACGATTCACTCTCTCTGCTATTCTTCTCGGTTTGGCTGTCCATTTTAAGATCTATCCTTTCATCTATGGTGCTAGTATTTGGACTCAATTGGGATCTTATTCTAATCTGAATTCATGGAGTCATCGATTGATTTCGATCAATAAACTTCAGTTTCGATTTGCTCTCATCTCAATCGGAACCCTATCCACTTCGAGTGCTTTGATGTATTCAATGTATGTGTTTGCTTCATTTGATTTGATTCTCCATATATCCTTCAAATGATGACATCTCTCAACTTTTGCTTAAAACCCTTTCACAGTTGGGGTCATGAATACCTTCAGCATAGTTATTTATATCATTTAAATCGACTTGATCATCGACATAACTTTTCACCTTATTTTTATCAAATCTATCTAAATTTCTTTGAACCTGATCCGAGCCCACTCATGAGATTCTTATCTCATCCTCTGATCAGTTTTGTCCCTCAAATCAGTTTAAGCTTGGGACTTGGATTTTTGTTTGGTTTGAATGATTTGAGATTTGCTTGGTTTATTCAAACTTTAGCTTTTGTTGGATTTAATAAGGTTATCACATCACAAGTAAGATTTCATCTGATCTTGATCTCTTTGAATTGACATCATTGATCTATTCTCAATATCCCCTCAAGTACTGATTTTCAAGTACTAATTTTCATGGGTTCTCATCACAGTATTTCTTATGGTATCTTTGGCTTATTCCATTGATTCTTAACCGGATTCATCTATCAAGATCACGTTTGATTTCCATGCTATCAAGTTGGATTATCACTCAGGTTAGGATCTTACTCAATCTTCAAAATCATAAGTTATCCATTTGAAATATTTATCATCAATCATCTTTGAATCTCATAGGCTCTTTGGTTAAATCAAGCTTATCAATTAGAATTCTTAGGAAGATCAGTCTTTAGACCACTCTGGATCTGTAGTTGTTTATTCTTTATAAGTCATTCTTGGATTTTGATTTGTTTGATTCAAGCTTATAAACCGATTCAGGATTCTAAAGTGAAAACCAATTAAAGCATTTTTTTCTTCACGTTTCATCAAGTTTTTTTTCCTTTTTTTTTGGTTTGTTTGAATTTCTTGTCTCATTTGGAATTCTTTTTTGATCTCTTCTTAACAAGAAAAAGAAATAGTCATGTTGGAATTGAGGTTTACATGAGGTGATTGAAATGAATTCCGAGTGAAATAGTTCAAAAAAGAAAACTGTAATTAAGTCAAAAGGTATGATGTCAGATTTGATGCAAAGGAAAGAATCAGAAGACTCAGTGTTGGTAACGGGTTATTAACAGAGTGGAATGGGATGTTGGAACTATCTTGAGATCCGTAACTAACGGGTCGGTCTTTTTATAATACATTGTTATCATAACAATGACATCATCCTGTTTACCACTTCCTGTTCCAACTTCCTTTAGCTCTTTACCTCCGTCAAAACTCATCTCATTTTCTTATATTCATAGTATTCTTTTATTTAAACTATTTTTTCAATAAGATTATCTGAAACAGTGTCTCATTCATCGTTTTTCTGTTCCACTCGAAATCCAAATGAGTGATGAAGGATCTTTTAATTACGAAGAGGCTAAAGTTATTGCCGATAAATTGGAAAGTCTCACCAAATTATATGAAGATGGTGACGGTTCCAACGGTAAATCGATGGTTGAGGTCCGATCTTTATATTCACAGATCGTTCCTTATGATAAACCTAACTGGTATAGGAACTGGTCTAAATTCGCAAGCGATCTTATTCGATCAGATAAGGAACATGATCGTCCTATCTACAAGAATGATTGTCCAACGCCAACTAGACCTGTCGTATCAGATGACGAACCAGTCTATATTTTCGATGTGTCCGCAAACCCAACTTATCCAGAAGATGTGGTGTTGGATACACAAGACAGTATTCGGAGGAAAGACAAAGGAAAAAATCGAGCTTCGCCTACCATTCATATCCTCACTCAAGAGGAGATTGATTTGGCCCAAAAGGCGAGGAATCTTTTGGACGCAGAGAACGAAAGAGGGAAAAGGATTTCTTCTCGTTCGAAATCATCTTCACCGCTTACTTCAAAGAAAGCTTCAAAACGAAAGAGAAGTAGTAGAACGGAAGAAGATTCAGAAGATTCTGATGAGTCAGAAGGGTTTCTTACTAAGAAACAAAAGAAAAATTTCGATTGGTCCTCAAGAGCGGAATCAGGACCAAATTCAGAATCATTTTATACCCCGGCTGCAATCAGATTTGCACATGCGAAAAGAGGTTATGCAACAAGTATTAAGGATGTGGTTAAGGGTTTTAATCAGACAGTTAGGCCTTCTGATTTTCCAAAGAATTTATCTAAGGATTTATTGGAGGGAGAATATATTGACTTATGGAGAATTAAGGGAGAATTCATGGCAAATAAGAAAGGCTATGCAGCACCTCTTACATTGGATGGTAAAGACAAAAAATTATCTTTACAGAATAAGATTATCTCAGAGAAGTTGTTGGATGCGCAAGAGTGGTTCTATTACTTTGATATCTTACAAAGAGCCTATCAAGAAGCTTTCCCTAGTTGCTACCAGGATTTTCTCAAATACTCGAACTTCATCAAAGAAAGGTTTATGTCGGATGGACGGAAAGCGAATTGGATCTGTGTTGCTGAATTCGACGCAGCTCTTAGAAGGAATTTCTCGGAGAAAGAGAATATTTCTTTCAGTGATTTTGATCATCCTTCTCTATCAACCCTTCCAGCACAATATATGTACAAAGCATATGAACCTCAGCAACCAGAAGC